CAGGAAATGGAAAAGAAGAGAGCAGGCGGTTTCCTTTAACATTGTGACTGAGAAAGTTACACTTTGCTCATGTCCTGTCAAGCTTCATCTTACAGGTTGCCTTTGGGTGTCTGGACCCACATCCCCATGAGAGGCTCGTGGATTAGTTTCCCATCTTCTGTAAGGTTTATTGAAATCCCGAGTCCAGGCCCCAAGGGACAGGTAGAGGCTGAAGCACAGCTGCCACTCCAATCACCAGGCCTTCCCAAAACAGAAGCCTTAGTGCATGCCCACCCCTCACCACTGCCCACCAAGCCAGATGACGTGGCCCTGCCATTTTGTGCCTATGACTCTTCCCATCCCCACAAACCAGGCTTCAACCGCTCCTGCCTCCAGGGCTCACTGGGCTCTTCCTCATCTCTGGCAGGAATTTCCACAGGAATCCACTGGGTTTGGCCCTCCCCTTATTCTGATCAAACATCATCTCTGACACCCTCACTGACCACCCTGAGCAAACTCCCCCCACCGCTCCCCCCTGCCCTTTCCCATTTCCTCGGAGCGCCCACCATTCCTTGGTGGTGTTGTGTTTTCATTTGTACATGGTCTGCCTCTCCCATAGGCTTGTATGCAGGTAGCTGATTTGGGAAGTGTTTCCAGGGAAAGAAGGTAGAAAAGGGGTGACAGCAGCAGAGGGAGACAATACAAGGACATGTCACTGGGTCAGGTGTGCACTGTGTGTCCTCCCACAAAGGGCGGCCCAGGGAAAGAAAGGAGAAAGTCTTAAACCTTAGCCACTAACTCCTTAGGCCAAGAGTGGCCCCGGGACGTACTCCTCTGTATCTGTAGGTTGCATGTGTCAGAGAAGCCCAGGCAGGACTTAGGTGGCCCTATGGGCTGTCCCTGGGCAAAGCTACAAGCTCTTGCAGAAGCAGTTGTGGTGGCTGTGGCTGGAATAACAGGTGGGGCTGAGACAAGACACAGGGATCCTGCGAGGTCAACCACTCAACCACTCTTGTGGGCAGCACACAGTGGTCACTCGGTGAATATTTACTGAATGAGTGGTGCTGCGGCGCAGTGAGAAGCCAAGAAACAGAGCTAAGAAACTGGGTCGGGAGTGACGGTACACACCCGTAACCCCAAGGACCGGGGAGAGTGAGACAGGAGGTTTGCAAGTCGGAGGCCAGCCTCAGCAACTTTGTAAGACCCTGTCTCCAAATAAAAAATAAAAGACTGGAGCTGGGGTGTAGCTCAGTGGTAGAGCACTGGCCTAACATGGGTGAGGCCTGGGTTCAATCCTCAGCACCACATAAAAATAATGTGTTTCTCTACAACTAAAAAATAATAATAATAAAAGAGACTGGGTTTGAGGCTCAGTGGTAAAGTACCTGTGGGTTCAATCTTTAGATCAAAAAAAGAAAGACACCGTGTCTGAGGTCCTGGTGGGTAAGTAACAGCAGCGAGGGGTGGTGCAGTTAAGGATTGATGGTTTCTGGAGTTGAGCAGGAGTGGACTGCGCAGCTCATTTATATGCAGTTGCATGTGAAAGTAAAGATATCAGTGGCCAAAACCATGGGTAACCATGGGTAACTTGTGCGTGACGTACTAAGCTCTCTGTGCACAGTTGGTGGCAAGTGCCTGACAGGCCTTGTCATCTGACCCACTGCACATGGAGTGTGCCATTGCCAACCGGGGAGAAACCGGAAGCTCAGAGAATTCGAGTAACTTGGAGTGACAGGGTCGACAACCATCTCCCCTTCTTACACAGGGGCACTGAGGCCCGAGCAGGGCGGCACTGCTCACGGACAGGAAGTGCAGGGCAGAGCGGACTCAACCACCCAGGTCTCCCACCTCCTGGGCTGTGTGCCTGGCTCCAGAGCTGCCAAAGGAACAGGGGCTCAGGAGGGGTGGGGATTAACCACACTGCCTCCCCAGCTACTACCAGAAGAAGCTGAAGGACGGCACCTGCAAAGCGCGAGAGATGGACTCGGCCATTGGCCGGCTGCGGTCACGCAAGAAGCTGCCCTACAACCCCCAGCAGGCAGACAGCTTTGAAATCTCAGAGCGGAAGGTCCTCAGGATCCTGAGTAGGATAAAGCAACAGAACTATGGTGAGGGTCCTGGGCCCACCAGGCTGGAGCAGGGGCTCGGCTCCCCTGCCCACCTCCCTCCTTTGCCCATGTCCCAAGGGAGCTGGGAGGTCTGCTTTCCTACCTTGGGCTTAACTATGTCCATCAGCAATTGGGCAGATGATCAGTCCCTTGCCTCTAGCCCTGCTCCGGACGCCTCCCCTCCTGCCTTACCCCAGAGCACAGGCTGTTCCTAAGAGCCAAGACTGGGAAGGGAGCAGCTATAGAGATTGGGAATCCCAGCTCATCACTGACTGAGCCCTGTGGTCAGTCACAGTGACAGGCCATCTGCAGATGTGCCAAGATTTAATCCTCATGAGCACACATTTGCCCCATTTTACAGAAGAGAAAAACTGAAACAGGAAGTTTAAGCAATCTGCCCAATTCCTCCCAGATAGCATGTTGGGATGGGTTTACACCCACATTTGATCCCCAAACCTGTGCTCTTCCCACTGAGCAACACTGCCTCCTTTGCCCAGGTATCATGTATTAGGCTCCTCAGTGTGACAAGCAATAGCTGGAAGTTCTGCAGCTTTTCTGGCGCACACCTACCAGCCTTGGCCAGGACCCATCAAGTATGGAGTACATCTGCTCCTTTCAAAGCTGTGCTTAGTCTTTGCTCTGGGCCTGTGTCCAGCTGGATGCTTTGCAGTTATCTCCCCTTAAATCGTCATCAACTGTGAGCTGGCTACTGCTAGTGTTTCTGGCCTAGAGGCTCAGACAGCTCTGAGCAAAACCAGGATTTCACTTGGGTCCGCCTGCCTCCCTAGCTGGCCTTACTCTAAAGCATTCCCTCTCCTGCCCGCTTCTTCACCAGCTGCCAACCTGCAGAGCCCCTACGCCCAGGTGCCCTGCATCCCGCTCTGTCCCCGGATGGACAAGAAGATGGTGCGGCGGAAGCAGGGCAACCACTATGTGCTAGACCAGTGTGCTTCCAGCAGCCTGAGCCCAGACATCCGCAGCCTCTTCTTCCCGTCAGGATCTCAAGGAAGCAGGTAGGTGTCCAAAGGGCCAGGGCCTCTGTCATGCCTCCTGCAAGAGGCCCCTGGCCTAAGGCCTGGAAAATCCAACCTTCCAAGAGGTGATCCCTGGGGGACTGCTTCCTCGAGGGAGAAGGGAGAGGAATAGGAGGGGAAGCACTAACCTGTGTACCAGGTAGATGAGGGCACTAAGCCTTCTTGTGCCCAGGACTCAGTGACACCCACCATCTTTCCTGGGCTGGCACTACCCCATTTCTACACTGGAAAACTTAACTTTGAACTTTTCTCCCAAGCCTTGCTCTAAATTATGAATAGCAGGCATAGCACCTGGGCAGGGGTGTGTCTCTTGCAGCAGGTCCCCTTGAAGAGAAAGGACTCTGGACTTAAGAGTTAGGCCCAAGTCCCATAGCTGGCTCCATCGCCTCCAGGTCTCTCCCCTGAGCACACAGGGACAACAGAGCCTGGCAGGATTGTGCAGAGAGCCAAATACCTCCCTTCTGTCCCACTCCCCTGCCCAGGGAACACAGCTCCGACAGTGGCAAGTGGCTTGGCTCTCTGCCAGCTCGAACCCACTAACCCTCTGGAGTCCTGATGGAGCAGTTCAAGGCCTGCAGACAGATGGGCCATCAGGCAGGGGTGGCTACTGGAGTTGGCTTTTATGGCCTGGTAAGCCAATAAACACCAAGAACCTCAGCCTCTGTGCCTGGCGCCAGGGAAGGTCCCCAGACTTTCACCTCCCTCCCAGGCCCTCCYAGTCCCCTCAGGCTCGAGGCAAGGCTTGACTCAAGCCCTGCCCGGGGCTGGGGCTCCCGCTGCAGGTGCCCTGGTATGTCAAGTCTTGGCCTCTGTGCACTCTTGATGCACAGTGGGGCCCTCCTCAGACGAGTGTCTCCCCTTTGGACTGAGAGCCCCACAAAGGCAGTGGTGAACATAAGCCAAGTCCCTGGGAAAGTCACGGGCCTCGTGGAAGGGCAGGAAGTGGCCCCAGTCACCATCTTCCTGACAGAACCCATGGGTCTCTTTCCCTGAAGCACTAAGAAATGGAGCCTTTGTCCCCAGATCCACATACCACCAAGCCCCTTCCCTCACCCGCGACTCTCACTGGGACTGAGCAGAGGTAATCCCCCTGGGTTCAACAAACAGCCACATTAAGAAGGTAAGAGGCCAGGGGCTGAAATGAGGACAAGGATCTGACAAGTTTAAAACATGTATTTAAAATACAATTTATAAAATGCTTAATCTGCCGACTCAGGAGCCCGCGGTGCGGGGTGGGGTGGGTGGGCGGGCAGCTCCCTCTACATCAGCAGAGCAAGACTGCGGGGTGCGGCCCTCCCTCCCAATCCCTTCTGTTCACACACCCAAGGGGCCCATGTGCACCGCTGGGATCGCATGACCGCGAAACAGGACCCCAGAGGTTTCTTTGAGTCTCTGCTTACCAGGGAGGCTGGGTGCAGCCCTGCCGGCCCATCCCTGAGCAGAGCACCCCCAGATGGGGCAGAGCAGGGTATGGCTGGGCAGGGCAGGGCTGGGCGGGGCAGGTGGGCTCTGGAAGGGGCTGATGGTAGCAGATAGGGTGTTGCCTCCTGCCTGCAGGTGGGGAGCACCCTGATTGAGTGGGCTGAGAAGGGCTGGTCACCAGGCCGGGACCCCCAGCTCCTTTGGTTATAGGCTGACATCAGAGTAGTGGCTCATGGGAAGCGGTTAGCTGGAAGGGCTGTGGCCTGGCTCATGGGGTCTGGGAGGAGCTGGGGGAAGGGACAGTACCATGAAGGCAGATAAAGGGGCAGCAGCTTCAGGTTCCTGCCTCTCATCCCCCTGGGGATTTCCAAGCCAAAGCCTGCAACTTACTTAAAAACAGAAAAAAAAAAAAAAGCACTTAATGAAAGACAACTACAAAAAGAAAAAAACAAAAACAAAAACAAAACACACACACACACACACACACACACACACACTCCAAACCGTTTTCCCATCACCCCTCCCACCTCCCCCCACAACAGTCTCCTCTTTCGTTTTCTTTCATTTGCCTGCCACCTCTCCACCGGGAAGCCAAAGATGTGACTGTTGGTGGGTGGTGACAGGCACATGTGGGCAACAGCTCCACCTTTGGCCAGAGGGACGTGGGAGAACCAGTCCCTGCTAGGTTCTTAATCTGTAGAGCCTCACCAGCTGGTCTGCCCTTGGCTCCCACTGGAGCAGGCAGGACAAGAACAGGTGGTCCTGAGGACTGGGCAGTCGGCACTTCTCTGGCCTTCCACCTGGACTACCTCTGTATCCTTCTCCCAAAAGACAGTCTCACCATGGGCCAGAAATCACTATTACTTGAGGATGGGCACTGGACATTTAGAAGGTGGACACCTGGTCAGGGCAGTGCATGTTAAGACAGCAGCCAATGTTCTTCCTGTCCACTCCTGGAGGTGACCGTGCGTCCTGCGGTTGAGCTCTGCTCTAGCACCACTCCCAGACACTTCCTGGCTTCCCAGTTCTAAGGCTGTGCTGTGGACTAGTCAACTGACAGCTGGCCCTTCCTCCTGAGGGGAAGATGTTTTGAGACATACCTGGGCCTGACTTACCACTTAAGGGCAAGGCTGAGATCAGGTGAACCGAGGTGGAGAGAGCCTGAACCCCTAGCCTGCCATCAGGGCTGCCACAAGATGCCCTAATCCAAAATCATGCCAACCATTCCAAACCCCACCTGCTAGCCAGGAGTGTGAGGCCACCTGGCTGGCTGGGGAGGAAGGTGCAGTGCGCTGGGAGGGACCAGAGGGCCCAAGAGGGGGCAAGCTGTGTAGAGCTGCTCTCGGGGCACTTGCCCTCTAGCTTGTTCTGCCCAAGGAGCCAAAGCAAACTTCAAAGCTCCAGGGAGAGGAGAAATCATCTTCATTCCAAGTCCTCACTCTGGAAAAAGGGGTGAAGGGTGGCCAGACCATTGGGAACTAGTTGGCCATCCATCTTTGCAATGCTTCTTCTCTCAACTTTATTCAGACTGGTCTGTTCCCACGGTACTGGTTTCACATAGGAAGCACACCAGGTACAGGGACTGAGCTGAGGCCACCAATGGAGATGGAGCACTCGCAGACCCTTCAGAGTTCTATCCTTGCTGGAGTGGGCAGGTCCCTCTACCTTCTGACCACACTGAGCAAATGGCCCGAAGTCCCGGAGCCAGACTCTCTCCTGGTCTTCTTGTGCTGACAGCAAACACTTGACAAGCCTCCTATCCCTTGCTCCTAAGGCAGGAGTGCAGCCTCACTCTCTGATGCTTCCTGCTTTCCTCTAGAAGTAGCAAGCCTGGCTGGTAGGAAGCCACCCTGAGGGGTAGAGGAAGGGGAAGTCTGTCACTTTCCCTGTCTCCCAAAATACTAGAGGTGGGTTGGCACCCTCCCCAGGCTCTCTGAGCCTATAGAGCTAGCCCTGTCTCCAGGCAGGGCCAAGAGGCCCGGAACCTAGCTGGGGGAGGGAGGTAAAGGCATGGGGTGCTCATCTGTCCTGGGGTGCAGAGCCCTGCCCCTTTTCTGGGCGGCAGTAGGAATACAGAAGCTAAGCTCACCAAAATCCTATTGGTTAATGTTTCCAGCAAATTTCCCAGAAACATTTTTAAGTAGGCTACCAAACTACCCTTTCTCAATTAAAAATTCATTAAACTGCTAAAACCCCCTCCCATGCACTTTCCTTGCAAATCAGATATTTGTATAAACAAACAAAAATAGGAAGGAAAAAAAAAAGGAAAGGATATTTTCAAATGGAACTTACTTTTTAAGTGATGAAGACATGCACTTGGGGGTGGGTGGGTGGGAGTTCTCATTTGTGTTTTGAAATCCCAAATTAATGAGCATGATAAACTGTTATTGCTGGCACTGGCTTTACCCCAAGTGGCCGAGTGGCACTGTCTGACTCTCTACTCTGAGTCCTTGATGGGACCCCCAGCTCTCCCCCAGCCCCCACCCTTTCCATTTCCATTGACTTGGAACAGCCCTTGTTGATGTGCCAATCACAGTGGGAAGGGGAGTAAGGGGGGAGGTCACAGTGCATGGGGTTCAAGGTCACAGTGGGCGGAGCAAGGGGGATCACAGTGCAAGTAAGTCAGGTCGTTCCCTCTGCTCAAGTCCAGCTGTCTGCCACGGCAGTACGACCCGTGGTGGACGACCCAGGAGGTGGTGATGGCGGCAGCGGCGGCATCCTTTCTTGCCTGCATTTATCTGCGCTGTTTGAAGCCTTGTGACCCATCGGGACCCAAAGGCTGTCTGATCACATTATTGGGCTGCCTGCTGTCTTCGGGCTGGGAGATCCTGGTTGGCCTGAAGGGGAAGATAAGAGGAAGGACTGAAACAAAATATAAAAGATGCCCCCAAACCATAAAAACAATCATGCTTAAAGCTGGGGTGGAAGTCACAGTGGCTATCAGCTAACTCTGGTTCCATAAGCCTGCTTCTTTGGCAAGCAGGCTGGGACATTTCCTAGTTGGGAGATCCAGGTGGACAGGGGTTGGTGGTCCATGCTCACCTCCAGCAGCTATAGCATTCTCCCCCATTTGGAGGCAGGGGGGTTGCTCAGGAGCCGGTGTTGTCCAGAAGGCATAGATTTTCCCGTGTTGGCCAGGTAAAGACCCTTAGCCATTAGCTCAAGTGAGCCAGCACCCTCCATTCTGCCTCCTGTGTGTCTCTAAACCATGCAGTTAGTGGCTGACCAATATTACTAGAGATGATGAAGAAAACAGGCTTTTCCACTCTGGGAAGGTGAGGACTGAGAGAAGAAAACAGATAAAAGATGTCCCTTCAAAATAAGGGCAGGGCCCAGGTGCAATGGTGCATGCCTGTAACCCTGGTGACTCGGGAAGCTGAGGAAGGAAGATTACAATATCAAGGGCAGTTTCAGCAGCTTAGTGAGACCCTGTCTAAAAACAAAACAAAAACCAAAAAGGCTGGGGGTGGGGCTCAGTGGTAAAGCATCTCTAGGTTCAATTCTAAGATTAGTTCTTTAAATCACAATATATCAAATTACCAAAGAGGCCATTCCAAGTTAGACCATTTTAACAAATACTGCTTCACTAGGAAGTGACAAACTGATATAGTGTAACCTCTGGTACCGTAGGGAAAAAATACTGAGAATGAGAAAGAATTTAGAAAATTTACACAGTAGGCTACTGGAGATCCAGAATATAACACTGAAGCACTTAACTGGGTGCTCCCTACCATCCACACAGGGCTCACCACCCTCTGGCGACTTGCTCGTTCACAAGGGTGTGTGATGACTTGGTGAGGCAGGAATTTACCACTGACCCATTTCTCGAGATTTGGTGACAGGTTAAATGGTTCGCAAGTGGCAAATTTTGACTCGAAGTCTGTGCCTATAGCCTCTACAGCACCGCCGTTGTGCTTGCAGACTGCCAACAACCTCCACCTGATGGCATCAGCCCCCCCCCCCCAGCCCCCCAGGCCTCCACAGACTGAGCGGGCCCAGCAGGCTCCTCACTGGTCTGCACACAGCCAGGCCCTGCTGCTGCTGCTGCTGCTCCTTCCAGGGTGGCCGGCCACACTCACCTGTCGAGGATGGGTTTCTCCTGCTCTTCCTCAGGGCTGGCGCTGCCCAGGATCCGTTTCCGGGCCTCAGCGTACTCAGCCTCCCGCTGGGCTAGGGACTTGACAGGAAGGGCTGGCCTGCTGGTGGAGTTGGGGCTGCTGACCACACCGTTGCTGGTGGGCCTCTTGAGGATGCGGATCTGTGGAGGGGGCCCCGTGGGAAGGCTATCGTCTTGAATCACAATGGGCACTTTGGGAGGAGATTTGGATTTCCTGCTGACAAAGAGCAAACACAGCTTCACAAATCCCATCCTTGACCAGGAGGCCCTCTAGCCCCATGCCCACCTTTGTCACTTTCTTCCCTCTTTCCACTAACTCTATTCATCAGCCTCTGGCTTCTGACCAGACATTCAAATTCCCCTCAAGAAGGGTCTCTCAAGAAAGCCACCTTGTCACCAGCTCAGCAGCACCCAGGAACTGCTGCTCAGCTCTAACCCCTGGCTAGGGGCCAGAATGCTTCCTCAACCTGGGACTTCCACCCATGTCTACCCACGGGCACGGCAAGCACCATCTGGCCCCTGAGGCAAAACAGTTCATGTTCAGAATCCAATAACCTCAGTTAAAGTCCCAGCCTTCCTATGAAGGGCAGTGTCAGAGGCAGGTGGCCAGCCTGGGTCTCTACCACATGGGCTCCAACCACACACTGCCAGAACCTGTTGCACCACACAGCCTTCCGCTGAGAGCGACCTGTCTCCCAGAGACCAAGACATCCGACAACTGAGTCGGCCTTTCCAAAGAGCTGAGCAGAGAAACCTCCTTCCCCAGGGTTCTGGTCTGCTGGACAGCGGCGGGGCTGGGATGGAGGGTGAGCCTGAACAGGGCTTAGCAGTGCTCAAAAGAGAAGCACTGCTCAAAGTTGGTGGGTGTACACATCAAGGCCACATGTCCACAAGGAGAGGTGGAACTAACAAAACGGGAAACAGCACAGGGAGGGAGAGGAACAAAAGCCACCGGAGGAGAAAGGAACCAATGCAGGAATGACCCCCCACACCAGCCACCAGAACCCTCCCCAAGCTATCAGCTAGCTTCAGAACCCAACAGACACACAGGGGCCTTTTCCAAAGCCAGGGCTATCGGGAGGGCTAGGGACCTGAGGAACAACAGCAGGAGGGGCCTGGGGTAAGGACAGTGCACCTGCTGAGACAGACAAGAAGCCAGAGTTCCCTGGGGAACACCATACAGCCTGTTGGGCAAATCCAAGTCTTACCCTCCTTCTGTTGCCTGTCCCTGGGAAAAACCAAGCTACCCAAGCTCAAAGTMAACTGTCACCTGCTCTGGCAACTCACTTCCTCCTCTCCGGGGTGGGGAACAAAGATATCCTTAAAGATGTCTCAACTTCCTAGACTCTTTCCTTTCAGGATCCCCTCAACTGCCAAATCACTGCAGCCCCAGGGAAATCAACTGTCCAAACTCCTCATATCACAGAGGAAGAACCTGATTCCAGAAGGGACGACTTACCCCAAACCTCAGAGCAACTGGGCACAGCCAGGCCTAAAACTTAAATGTTGCAACTTGTCACCTCGACTGTCCACCAGATGACCTCACACGAGGGGACCACTGAGGTCAGAGGCAGGAGCAACACTCCGGCCTCACTCCCAAAGCCTTGAGCCACCATGCCCTGATCCCCAACTGGGAGGGAAGGGTTTGCTGCCCGGGAGCCTGGCCTGCTAAACCTAACAGCCAGCTGGAGAACACCGCTGACTGCGCAGCTCTCCTTGGCGGGAGCACAAGTTCTCAGACCAGACAGCAGCCTTACCTCTCCTTTTGTGTGATCTTCAGTTTTTTTTCCAATCGTCTGTCTATTTCCTAGAGGAAAAAAATGTATATAAAAAGTGGAAAAAATCTCTCTCAAATAAAAACTTACGTCTTTATTTTCAGAGCTAAGGGCAGTGTCTTCTCTAGCCAGGGACACACGACTGTGTCCTTTGAGATAATGGAGGCAGACTAGACTCTGGGGTTTGGGTTCCTGGCTGCCTCTGTGGGTCCATCTCCTCCTAGTCCATGGCCACAGCAATGATTCTAGATATTGTCCAGCTGGGATCTTTTCACAGGCTCCAGACTTCTGGCCTGTCCTTCACCGAGTCACTCAAATCAACTTTCTAAATACGTGTGATCATGTCACTTCCCCACTCAAAACCCTTCAACTGCCTGCAGGGCCACATCTAAGCTTGGGAGCAGCCTCCCCCACACCTCCTCCTGTCTTCTGTTCCCATCCTGCACCTTGGCAATCCCGAGCCATACAACCCGAGAACCCCAGTGCTGCTCCACCTGGCTCCAAGTCCTCTACCCCTGCAAGCTCCCACTTATCCTGCAAAACCCAGATGTCGCCTCTCCTTTATGAAGTGTTGCTCCTGGCGGTAAACACACCCTGTCACTTTCCTTCATGGTCACACATATTAACTATTTTATAGTCTATTTCTTACTGGTATGGACTTGAACTCTCTGTGACTATATCACCTAGCAAAAGGCTTAGAGTAAAACAGAAGCCTAATATTTATAGAACTGAAATGCCTAAGTCTCCTAGTGCATCCAGGAGAAGGGACAACAGGATTCCTCTTGGAACTAGAGCCTGGCAGGACTCAACTAACACAAAACCACCACTTTAGAAAGAAGCAGAGAGAAGTCAGGTTGAGAAAAACAGAAGAGAGTCCATCGTCTAACACATCTGGCCCTGAATTCCCACTGTGCCGGGCCTAACTTCCTGTCATGAGCAAAACAGGGGCACCCTTGGCAGTGTGAGCCAACAGCCCCCAGGACAAGAACTCTGTGAAATCTCCATGCATGGGGATTGGGGGTAAGGACTATACACAGGGCAAAGGCCAAACTTCCCAGCTCTTGGGCTGTCCCACTGCTTTTCTTTATGTCCTTTTCTTTATTGGGGGGGGGGGGGGAGATCATCTAGCTATTGGAAGAAAAAACTATATGCAAAATTATGTGTTTCTCTGGAGAGCCAATCTCTTAACAGCAACTCTCAGCCAGGAGTAGTCGGTCCCACCCACCAAGTGGCCAAGTCAAGACATGCTTGGTTGTCATTACCAGGGGAAAATGCTATTGGGTCAAGGCCAAGGAAACTGCTAAACATCATACAATGCACAGAACAACCCCCACAAGGAATTAACTAGCCCCCAGAGTCAATAGTGCTAAGGTTGGGGAACCCTGATTGGTAAGATACATGGGATTTTCAAAAAAGTCCATCACCTGCAAAATATTCAGCCATATGGCCAGAAGGTCCTAAGATTTGCTGAGATGCCTCAGAGCCTTGTGTGTGGTGGCCCTTTTCATGAGTGCTCTGTGCTGCAAGCTACAGTTCACAGGGGCAGTGCAAGCTGGTCAGCTCGAGCCAAACCTTCTGAATTTTCACTGATTCATTTGAGCTACTCACTGTGGGAAAAATTCTTTCTAGTAAATTAAACAGTTTATCATTATTTTGGCTATAACACCTTTCCATCTTCTTATTTGTATCTCTTATAAACAACATGGAGTTAGATGGAATCATATGAAGCTAGATTTAAATCCAGCCTAACACACCCACCCTGAGTGGTGCTGAGCTAGGTTTAAGTCATATTTGGCAAGCACAATACACGCGATTCTGAGCATTTTGGAGTTTCTGGAAGGCTGGGGAGGTGCCAAAACAAAGCCTCTTAATCTACTCCAGCTTGGAGGAAGGTAAGTGCCCAATGATTACACTGAAAAGGTTCACCAAGTAAAAGAACGAGAATGACCTGGATGCTTCCGTGAACTGAAAGACACACAGAATCTGTGCCCTCTGTAGAGTTTACATCAGAATTGTATTAATTCTATTAATACCTGCATTATGTCAGGCACAGTGGCGCATGCTTAACTAACCCCAGCTACTTGAGAAGCTGAAGCAGGAGAAGAATTTCACGTTCCAGGCCAGCCTGAGCAACTTAGTGAGACCCTGTCTCAAAAAAAAAAAAAAAAAAAAAAAAAAAAGGCAGGGAACAGGGATGCAGCTTAGTGGTAGAGCGCTTGCCTGGCACGTACATGCTCATTCAATCCCGGGATGGAATGCGGGGTGAAGGGATCGTGTTATTTCCTGAGTAAATACTACATCTTACCTGAGTCTAAAGCCCATCACCTTTTAAGGGTTCTTCAAGGATTTCCACAAATAACATCTTGTTTCATTAAAATTCCACACTGTATCACATCATTCCAATCTGAAAGCCAGACTGCCTATTTAAGTTCCTCCATCATAAACACAAAATTTAACATCTGTGGGATTCAGATGCCTTCAAAAAGGGTTGAGACCAAGTGCCTACACAGGCTAGGCAAGCAGCCACACTACACGCAGCGGCACACCCAGAGAGTGAGGGTACTGGCCATAGGCCACCAACTTCTGGCTGACAGGGCCAGATCCATTTCAAGAAACTTTGAGTTCAAGATTTTTAATGGAAAAGCTCTGAATTTAAAAAATTTTATAATTCTCACTTTATCACTACGAGGGAGGCAGAGGCAAATGGGTCTAATATATTAGCTAAATCTGAGAGGTCCCTCTTCTCTAAAACTCTAGGGAAGATAATCTGCCCAGCACACAGACCTGAGTAGAAGACCTTCAAAAGAATATTATGGGGGGCTGGGAATGTGGCTCAAGCGGTAGCGCGCTTGCCTGGCATGTGTGTAGCCCGGGTTCGATCCTCAGCACCACATACAAAGATGATGTGTCCGCCGAAAACTAAAATAAATATTTTTGAAAAAGAATATTATGGGGCTGGGGATGTGGCTCAAGCGGTAGCGCGCTCGCCTGGCATGCGTGTGGCCCGGGTTCGATCCTCAGCACCACATACCAACAAAGATGTTGTGTCCGCCGAGAAAATAAAAAAATAAATATTAAAAATTCTCTCTCTCTCTCTCCACCCCCCTCTCACTCTCTTTAAAAAAAAAAAAAAGAATATTATGGGGCTGAGATATAGCTCAGTTGGTAAAGTGCTTGCCTTGCATGCACAAGGCCATGGGTTCAATCCCAGCACCCCCCCACATACACAAAGAATATTATGGGTCATATGTAARTGAATGTGCTTTTGTCTCCAAACTAGAGCATAACCAGCCTACTTGGCATATAGTATTATTGGTTTAAAAAATGCCAGACATCAAGGGCTGGGGGTACAGCTCAGTTGGCAGAGTGCTTATCTAGCATGCACAAAGCCCTGGGTTCAATCCCCAGCACCAAAAACCAAAACAAAACAAAACAAAACAAAATAAACCAACAAACAACAATAACAACAACAAAAAAACACCATGCCAGACATCGAGGTAAGCCACTGGTAAATGTCATTAGATATTGATCCTGTTATTTCCCCCAATTCCACACACACTCTGTACTGCAATAACTAAAACTCCCATCCAACCCCATCACAATAGGCAGGATGGCTTCAGCAGAACTGGAGAGGGATTCTTCCATCAGATTACAGAATCGTATAGAAATGCAAGCAGCTCTGTGAAAAGTGGACCCTAGCCATGGCCAGATGGCCAGTCAAACACTAGCGTGCTAAGAGTTGTCCAAGCAGGACGGGGAGTGCTTTGCCGGCAGTTGGAGAGGGTACCGTGTCTCGCCCTTGGAATCTGTCCAGGTATCATGAGCCAGTCTACTCTATGCTTAGACAAGGCCCTGCAGCCAATCTGCTCTCAATTCTGCTCTGGAAAGCTGAACCACTTTAAACCTTTCCTACAGGATACACTACAAGAACAGACATCTCCTGCAGAGATTCAACATCTCAATGTAATCAAACAGGCTTCACACACCAACATGGGCTTGAAACTAGGAATGGAAATTACCAAGGGGCACCCTCTCTCTTTACAAGGATGCACAAATCCCTGCCCATGGTCAAGGCACCTGTTTTAGAGGATCAACCTCCATGGCTAGAGCAAGAAACACATAAGCCCTGACTATTCCAAGTGGACACCTGGGCACAAGGCCAGTATGATGGCATAAGCACATTGCAGGGTGTGGCTAAGGTCTGCTGTGTCATGGCTTCTCCTCCTGGAAAGGCTCTTTGTTTTTGCCAAGTAGCACTGAGCAGGCTCCAGATTACACGGTGCTCTGATGAATGAGGTGGCTTCTTTTCTGGGTCCCAATCCTAAGCAAAAGGTTTGCTGTTGCCAAACTTGGGCATGGCTTGCCTGTGACATTATACTACTACAAAAACATAGGACACGCTGCTGCTTATTTTTTTAGTTGTAGACGGACACAATATCTTTATTTATTTATTTATTTATTTTTATGTGGTGTTGAGGGTGGAACCCAGGGCCTCATGTGTGCCAGGCAAGCGCTCTGCCAATGAGCCCCAGCCCCAGCCCAGTACATGCTTGTTCTCAGAGAACAGGCAAAGCCAGAGGGAACAGTGGAGGTGGGAAAACAAAAGAACCAGGAGGAAAGGAGGTGGTTTTAGACAGCCTGGCCCTGTGGAGAGGTAAAGGAGAGGCCACAACCATAAGGTGACTGAAATCAGGTGACAACATCTGCAACAAGCTGACCTGACTGCAGCTTGCAGTGAGTGTGCTCATGGGAGCCTCCGGCAGAAAGCTGCCAGGGTGGAAGCCTAAGAGTGCGCTGGGGACAAGGTCATTCCGAAAGAAGAGGGCAGGGAAAGAGCCACCCAGGACAGTCTAACTTGTTACACAGTCACAATCTGTGAATGGAACAAAGAAGACAAATAGGACAGAAATGTGCCTGCAAGGCCAGGCCCATTATAGCATCAGGCTCACTCCCTTAACATTAAGAGAATGAGAAAGGAAAAGGGAGGAGAGAGGAAGAGTGGGAAAGGCAGAGGGATTAAATACACAGGCCA